AGGGTGAGCCCATGGGCATATCTCAAAATAAGATTAATGGACACATAGTTCGTTGCCCTTTTATGCTCAGTTCCCATGCAAAGGAAATAAATGAAATTTCGCGATTCCGATCCTCCATAGAACAGATTTGCAATCTAGTAAATCTAGTAAATTGCTTTGTAAAAAATTGTGGTCCAATGTTTTAAATGAGCAATTTCACTTGAATGTATGTGAAATGTTACATGGAGGTACGGTAGCACTTATTCAATGTAACAGCCCCTAGTTGGACTTTTTTCTCTTTGATGGATACCGTAATGATACCGTAATAGAATGGGAACAGTAATAAGCAATTGAATGGGGGCGCGGACGTTCACTGGGATACTTCATACGGTCAAATAGCAAAGAGGAGGTCCCAGCTGGAATTTTCAGAAGCTCTAAACCAACATTCATCAGAAGATTAAAATTCAGCTTACCATAACTCCAACCACTGTAGGACGGGATGTGGCTCTTTGTTTTCATCCTGAAGTTCTGGCATGGAGCTAAGAATCAAACCTGTAAAAGGGGATACTGTAAAGCTCGGTACCGTAAAACAAAAACTTGAAAAAAAGAAAGTCGAGTAATTATTACCAAGAAACATTTTTGGAAAGAAAATTATCGTTAAGCTGGAGCGAAGTGGGTAAAAATGAAAGGGTCTGCTCGGGTTTGTGAGAATTGATGGTAATTAAGACCTAAAAATACTTACCTAATAGAGAAAGTAGTACGAAGGAGGCAGAAACGATGGAGAACACTTTTGCAGCAAATGATGAACGAGGATTTTCAAGCATTCGATACAAATGTAATCGCATTGGTCCCATCCACACCTTCTCAAATGAAGATGGAGGGCAGGAACTGTCGTGATTACTCTGAAGCACAAAAACTTTGCAGTTGAAAACAAACCGGTTCTGGAATTTTAGGGCAATTCAGTAAATATTAAAAATAAGTATCAGTCGGGACGTACAACTTCGACACGCTTTTTAGCGTGATTATTGTTTTCTTCCAGCATACAGCATGGTGACAGGAAATGGATAGGGATTCGCCAGTAGTCCAACTCGTATCTCAACCTTATTGGGCAAATATCCATTGGTCGATGAAGCTTTCCTGAAAAAGACATCGCTGAAGAACATCCTGACTTTAGGACTTCCAATTCTGTTTCCTATTATGATGGGTAACGTATAGGTTTAACAGTCAACCCTCCATGGATGCTCCACACTTTTGAATTGAATTATTCAAAATCAAAAATTTTGAATCAAGTTGAAAGTAATTGATACAAGAAATATTTAATAGTTCAAAATTAAATTCATTATTATATCTCATGACTTCACTGTAGCATTCATTGTGGACACTGTTGAACCCTTGCTTCTTCTTGGGTATGATATCTATCCTATCCAGATATTTCAAGAGAGAGCCGCTTTCCAAAAATAGGAGGAGAGGCACAACCATATGGGGTAAATTAGTTTAGAGGACAACGAGAACTATGCCCTCTTGAAGGTCAGCTTTGAAGAAATGNTCTATCCTTTCCAGATATTTCGAGAGAGAGCCCCTTTCCAAAAATAGGAGTAGAGGCACAACCATATGGGGTAAATTAGTTTAGAGGACAGCGAGAACTATGCCCTCTTGAAGGTCAGCTTTGAAGAAATGCCATCTGCGCTTCATTTTGCACTCCGATTCATGTGACATCTCGGTTATTTTCAGCCCATGCCCATTTAGCATTATTATTTTGGTGAAAACACGATTTTTCTGATTCCCTGCCCATTCGCTACAATCCGGTTTACTTCTTCTCCCTGATCCCTGTAAGAGTATTTTCTGGGAGCAAGCTTTATAGGATAGTCAAACTCAGCCAGTGCGCATAAATCGGAAATCGTAGGAACTTAGAAATAAGCGGATGAACTTCCGAATCAGATGGAAGTAGATTAGATTGTGCCAGGCTCGTCAAAACGATGAATCATCAGGCAACTACCGCAATCGGAGTTGGCCCCGGTTCAACTCTTGTACAACCTCGGCACGATATTTGAGTTAGTAGGATCCGGTATTTTCAGACTAAATACAAGGGTTCTATCATTTATTTATTATTAATGTTATGTATTTTGAGGTTTTGGGAGAATTGCCTTCTTTGGAGCTCTGCTGCACAGAAGGGATCTCACTTCAGGAGCCATCCTAGGGATCAGATCCTCTAGACAGAAGATGATTGACGTCAGGGTGCACAATCTTTTCCAAGGAAGCACGATGAGATTAGGGAAGCCATAATAGGAATATTGACCATCAAATACTTGATATTGGCAGTTGAGACGGATCTAATCCTAGTATTGTCTTAGAATCATGACAGCACTCTACATACTAAGGCTTGAACACGTCACTGCACTTGAAGGAATCGCTCGTCACCACAGCAGAAAAAAGTCTTGAGCAAGGCTTCCCAAGAGAATTACACGGTATTCATCGTAAAACGAAACTGAGACGGCTAATCATTAGAAGAAAACGGAAAGCATGTTTTCATTCATTTAGGTGATGGACGTTAGACAAGCAGAAAAAAAGTAAGAAAAAAGTATTGTGATTGAAAAGGCGTTGTTCAATCAGGTGAATCCCGCTAATGCTTTCAAACAAATGAAATTCTTTTTACCAGAAGAGCTGTGATGCAAGAAAAATTGCAGCTGATACAGAAGAACCACTGGAAATTGTCTTCTTTTTGTAAGTACTACCGACCAGATATTTCAAAAGCCCCTTCCCCCACCCCCCTAACATTTTGGAAAAAATATTCCTAACCCTGAAGTAAGCCAATTCAATAGCTCAGAGTAAGCAATTACAGTTCCGACTGACTTTTCTTTTTTCCGAAACAAGTGGATAGACGGTATAAAACTAAACGAAAAAGAGGAACGAAATCAGTGCAGAAAATATTCAGGGTTCCACTCCCATGACATATTCCATGAAGAATGGAAGGTTCTCCGTCAACTATACCCGGCACACCTCATCCGACCTCTCTGCTCTGGCTGGCAAAGTAAAAAAAAAATCATGTTTTATCATATCAGCTTTCAGATGTGAAGGGCTGCAGGCAATGGAGCTCTTCAGAGACATCTCGATAACGCTGCCTACCACTGGTGCTCTAAAGAGTTGAGAGATCAAATCACCCATGAACATCTACTGACATTACTAGAAATTGACTCTACTGATTGTGAGGCCAAATTCTCCTGTCAGGAGCAACACAGATACAAAGTAGCTGCAAGGTGCCTGAAGGACTCTCCTCAGGTATGACTTATGACATCAAAAGCTTTGACGTTCAACTCAAAGCTACTTAATAAACTCAAATATCCGTTGCGTCGACACAGATTAGCGGTTTTTCCGTAGGTGAATTTTAAGATGCTTAACAGATTTGTTTTCGACGTCACATTATCAACAGGGAAGTGAAATGGCATATTTGAGCAGTCAAATCAGAACCTCGAGAAATGGTTGAGTAATATAATTGTACTAATTTTTTTACAAAAAAAATTTACTGTTGTGGCCTAGCTGTATCTGCTAAACATCGTCAAATAGGCGACTTCATCGATGGAAGACCCCCAGAAACCACTAGGGCCCATACCTCCTAAAGGAATCGTTGATTACCCATTACGATTTTTAATGGAGCCGATTGAGTGAGTGATACCAAAAAAGGATTACTTGATGGCAAATAAAAAATAATTTTTTTATTTAGTCCCACCATGGAACCTGGCAGAGTGTACCGATGTGTACTTGGTTCTGAGCTTATGAAGAAAGTAGTGAGTCTCCTGAAGCCTAACTGTCACTCACAGGGGTTTGTTTTAATCCAAAGGTTTCTGTTTCGAGCTAAACGAAAATATTCATATAGAAAGTAAAAAGTCATTAAGAAAACTTCGAAAATTATTGCCTCAGAAACAGATGCAAAATGTAGCGGGCACGATAGCTATAGGTATCGATCGGCGGATCATTGAGATGAAAGAGAATTCACGCTCATAACCAGCACTTTTTTCTAGAAGTTTTAAAAAAATGAAGGACAAAAATGTTGAGACTATCAGACTCCGCTATTTTGTATCTTTTTGAAAGAAAAAGAAATATTCCATGAACCCCATCGGATACATCATATACCTCAGGTATACCAGGCACAGATAATTGGGTAATATACACATACCATGAGTAACTTACCAGTTACAAAAAAGTCCACAATGTATTCGAAGATAATAGGGCTACGCTCAAAGTAGTACTCTCCAGCATGTTCAAAATATGCATCACAATCGGTAAGCTTCTCAATATGGGATTTTCTGCAGAATGCTGACAATCGACAACTGTCCAGACGTCGGGATATCTGAATTTCTCAATTGTAGAAATCGATTTGAAATTAAAAACGACATGACTCAATATTTGTGTTGTAATTTTTTTCTTACACACAAATATCATCGCGTGCTTAAGCCATTCTGAATGCTTATTGGACCCTCAACATATTCCACCTGCGCTTTGATACCCAAATAAGTATTCCACGCCATAAAGTGTCAGCGAAAAAATATTTATGCTTTCAGAATATATTGCTCACTGAGTCATTTGGCTAGCCGTTCAACCCCCATGGTTCAGGAATCAGCCATGAAATCAGCAAGACTTATAAAATAACGGCCTTTCCTGACAATCGTTCAGAATTCTCCAGATAACAATATTTATATGTGTCTTGCGGTACCGGATGACTTTTCCTCAATGAGCGATTCGGAAAAAATTCTAGATTTTTACAAATAGGAGCAACTTTGGGAATTTGGAGACTTACATATAAAAACCAAAACCAACTGGTAATCCACCCTCAGATCTCACAACATATTCGAGAAAAGATTCTGAACAAAAAAAGTTCAGAATGATCGGTTCTGCTTGGTATGTATGTGATCTTCGACTATCCTCCCACTTTTGCTTGAAAACCGTCTGACTGCACCATCCTGCCACCAAAGTTTGTGAAGCTGGCTAAGGTTTCCGGACGATCTTAGATTATCCGGTAAATTTTTGACCAAGGACTGGATATATCCCTCCCTTAATAAGGTTTTTCAACTATACTTGATCAGGTTCAGTTTGAAGCGCCCTAGGCTGCAATGGTTCCTACACGTTTTTTGTTGACATTCAAAACTAGAAAAATTTGATTTTGTGATCACTATTACCATATCAAGCGATAATCTTGCCCGTCGACCTCCTACGTTGATGACCACTGTCGGTGACGGTGACGGTACTGAGCCGTTTTCCAATAGTAATGGACAGGTTTCACTCATCTGAAAAAGCTCATTAAAACGAATCGTTCAACTGGAAACGATGGTTGACCAAGAAAACGAACAATAAGCGGACAACATGAAAAAAAAACAAACAAACACAAATGAAATGAGAAAGTGAGAGGGGCCACATTGTGAGTGAGAGAACATGCGATCAAATGGCTTCAAAGAAAACTGTGCTCCATCGGTCTCAGTGGTACGGTAGTAGGTTATCAATTGTGAACTTGCGATGAATGTTTCCAAAAGCAAGTAAAAAAGAGAATTAAGTATGTGAGAGAGTAATCCGAAGCAATGGGGAAAGCAATGAAAGTGGGCAAGGGCGGTGAAATAGCAGTGTGAGATAGGGCGGAGCGAAGGAGGGGCTCGTGGAATATCTTCCTTTCCAAGCTGTGAAATCTAATGCCACCGCTATTGCAGAACTTATTGTTAGCGTTGTTTCTAAAAGGCCAACATCGATCTTCTTCAGGACCATTGCACAAAAAGTTGGGAAGAGTAGGAAAAACCGAATAGAAAGGAGGTAGGAATCTCGTCGGAGATGGCTTTCCCTCTTTTTTTCCTCCTCAATCCCTCTCTTCGTTCTCGTCCGATTATTTCAATTGATAAATTACAATTTCGAGGTGGCCATCTGGATTTCACCAATGGAAGCAGTGAAATGGCTCACAACATTCCGATGAAGGATTTCAGAGGAGCCTCCCAGGCGCACATAGATATTGAGCCAGAGAAAAAAAAACCAAATGAAAAGTGCAACGTTGCTTGATAAAGGGAAGAGCTTTTCAAAATGAAACCGAGTCGTCCCAAGAAGTACAATTTCTGAGGATTTTTCCCATAAATGTTTAGGAACGGGAGTTATTCCGCACGCACATGGGATACGAGTTGTAGAAAAAGTTATAGGAACTGTCCAAGCTCTACCCACAAATAGAACCATCTCTCATACTCTTCCCTAGTTGAAAGAGGAGGACTATCCGAAGAATGGTGCCAGACGTTATCTTCAATCCGCTTAAGCTCCCGGGATTCCTGGGTAGTTGGCTTATGGAGAAACAAGCAATCCGGGGATAACACCCATTATTCTTTGGAAGACAATGTTGTCAAAATGTCATTTTTCAAGTTATTGAAATATACTTCCGTCATAGAAAAAGACTTCGCCTCCGCAAATAGCAAAAACTCAGGCAGAAACAGTGCCCCAGCAGTCCGGAACGACACAAAAAGACAATTTTCTGAAATCGCAAATTTTCCGACGACCAATTGAGATGTCCAGGAATCAGAATTTATGTTTGGTATAATCCCTATAGTAGATTCTGCTTTAAGCGGATATCTGACCGATATTTCTGAAGCCTACTCCTCCAATTTTTGGGTAGGAGCAGCACACATTGGCTTCCAAATGAAAGTAGTTGGGCAATATTTTGGTTTGTTTACTGAGCATTCATTTGCTCACGATTTAAGTTACGCTTTTCAGTGCAGAAGGAATAGAAAAGCGGTCTCAGAAGCAATTCCAGAAAGAAATAGAAAAGCTATTGAAAGCTATTTTTTCTCTGATGACTGACATTGAATGGTAGTCGCAGCAAAGTAGCTAACATCTTCCCTAGGGAGGGGCGGAAAATCTCTGAATTAGGTTCTGCCCTCATGGGTGCCTACTGTGAGGGAGATAGGAATCCACCGAACAGCTGGTGATCAGGCTGGGATTCGGTGCAGACGAAGTTCCTGACACTACCGTATCTGATCTTATTTGTCAAAGGGATAAATTCACAGTATTGACGGTAATTCTACCTCTCAATTTTAGTTTCGGATAAAGTGAATGTCGCATGGATAAGCCCAAGTCCTGTCATGGACTAGAGAGCTAAGTAAGGAAGGATATGAACACATCTCTTAGGGCAGCTTATTCCACTTTCATCATTTATATACCTTATACATTATATACATTTATATACCTTATACATTATTTATATACCTTATTTATATACCTTTGGTAGTGTACCGCCTATGTACGAATTATAAATAAGTTTTCGTCGAAAACAGAGATCTTCAGGTGCTCAAAAATGTGTGAATCGCCTGCAGATGGGCTTGTGAGCGCATTAGTAGCAGCCCTGCGAGGAACGGAATCGTTAATCCTCAACAAATATTAAGCTCCTGTCTGGTGTAAGTACGTACATTGAAAAGCACCCGATTGTTCCTACTCGTGTTCCCAAGGATTGTCTGAGACATAAAGCCCAGCTTCGTTCCAGTCCTATCCGAATGCCTCAACACAATCCTAAACACCCACGTAAGGGGGAAGAAAAAGTATTACTTAAGCTCAAAACAGCTCATCTTGTTGCCCGGGGTTCAAATCTCCCTCAAAACTCGCTAAGCCAATCCATCCTCTCGTCCCTCCGAGGTCGCTTGAATGGATTTAAAATAGTCACAGAGGATAACAACGTTGAAATGTACATCAACTAGCCGCCGCAAATCATTGTATGGGCCTTATACGCATTCAATCGCTACCGCGATACTAGAAGTCGAATGCTAGGGCGCATCCTAGATGCCAGATTGATCAAGCCAAGAGCTTTATCCTTTATCCTTTTATTGGATGCACGGTCAGTATCCTAAGTATTTCCCAGAGGGAAGAAACGTTTGGCATATTCCCATACAGACATGTTTCCTTCAGTGAAATAAAGCCAAAATCCCTACTAAATAAGTGATGTTGGAGACATGCTTAGCTGGAAAGAATCCTCCCAGATTCCGATCTCCCAGGTGAAGCTGGATGAAATCAGAAAATCTATGAAGAGGAAAGAAAACTAAGTGAGAAAAATATGATCGAGTTCGAAGAGGGAAGCTCAAAAGCCTTTTTATAAGAAGGTTTTTTGACTTATCACCATTTGAGCGTGAGCTGGCAAACTGCTCCGACTAACTCATCCACCAGGAATGGGCATCGTTTACTAAGCGTAGACGGCCACGTGAATTAGTTCATAACGGATTCTATCGCGATGTGAGGCACTAGCCAAGAGGATAATAGAGGACGATAGCATGACGTAGGTTCGTAGCAGACCATGACGTGGTCCGCGCTGGAAGGGGTACGCACTCCAGTCTCCCTTCAAATGCTGAATATCGCTTGATATGCCAGCTATCGTTGTTTCATTGCAAGGGCGTTCACTAAGAGATGTATGTATGTCTAGTGATTTGTAAGCTTCAATTAGCTCATTAGAAAACATGTTTTGGAAGAAAAACAGAAGCTTGTCAGGAAGCTCTCGTTCATGCTGATCTCTCTTGTTAGGTTAAAAACCGCAAAGCCGCCTCTAGACCCAACTCATCAGTAATCATCAGAAACAACTGATGATATTGGCCAGACTTCCCGATGTCCTATACGCAATGATCTGCACTTTTAAACCCAAACCACCAAGAAATGTCGTGCTATCCTTCGGAATTTGGTATGATCGCAAATTTCAAGGAAAACCTAATTTTAAATGCATGCGAGCTACAACAAAAGAATTTTCCTCGTAAGAAACAGCTGCGGAGAGAGAATGGTCAGTTTGGGTGGGTCTCTAGGGGCCACCACGTCATGCTCCGATCCTCTGTATTGAATTAAAAAAGCAATGTTCACGTCAACACATTCGTTTGCAGACCAATTTTGGTTGTTCGCGAACCGATTCCGTGGGATTTAGGCGGAATCCGATTCCGTTGTCCATTGCGAGAGCCAGTGGTCTTCATCTCCCTGCAGGATGGGTTGTCTTTCAAAAGGGAATTGCACGATTGTAGTTAAAGTTGTTATAAAATAGAGAAAACTGTTGATTTTCCTTTTTTTTCAATTTGTACAGGAATGTCATCAGAAGAAATAGCTGCCCTCACAACTACAAGGAGGAGGAACAATTTCTTATCTGTGGGCGAAACTCCGGCTCGAGACTCTCACGAGGAGTAGAAGGCGCGTCTCGATGTTCAGGAAGGGAACAATGAGATGAAACTGCCACTGGTGGTCTGGTCGGAATACCTGAAGATCTCAAAAAGCATAGCCGAAGAACTTTTCATACTTCAGCCCATGGGGCTCGCGATCAAAAGGTTCTCTTTGAAAAAAAAAACGAAATTAACCCACAACACTTTACCTTGTGAGATTTTTGTCATTGTTTTTGTGAAAAATAGGAGGAAGTTGGCTGGCTCTCCCACTCCGGAGCGAAGTCCGAGGTGGTGATAGCTCATATTCAATTAGGAGAAATATTGAAAGTTTGAAATAGGGACATGGGCAATCACGGGGAGCGCAGCCCTTCACAACATTCATAACACTTAGGACGTTTCAATTTACATAAGTAGGTATCTGGGAAAGAACGATTAATTCATAAAAAGCTCCCAATTAATTTCGACATAATACAATATTAGTGCCGCTAGCCGTCCTTTCTGCCCTCCAGTTATTGGCACGTCTGTCCCAGGAACTCATTACAATATCTACATCTTCTGCCTTTTTCTGATTCTATTAGAGCCGAAGATGTGAAAGCATCACTCGGATGGAATTTCAAATTACAAAAAGAAAAACAAATCGAAATGAATTAAGGTAAGAGGAAGTAGGGACAACAGGGACAAAGAGGACAGCTAGAGGAGCTTGTGTCCCGGCCGTCAGGGTCCCAAACACGTAGAAGTGGAAAGAGCACCAATCAGGCTCTATACGTTACCCACCGTTGTATGACTTACGATATCAACTACAGCTCAAGATCCGTAGATTGTTTTCCAGTTTCTACGGCTTTCCACAATTATTTCCTTTCCCCGAGAATTAAATAACCAATCGAGAGCAGAGTTCCCCATGCTGTTCGCAGATCAGCTTCTATTTTTTAGAAGTCACCAAAGTGTAGGGTAATATAACACCCGTCGTACCTATTCACAGCCGATACTCTTTGAAGTACGAGCTAAGAACATCAGTACCAAAGGGAATGTGGCCTTCCTGAGCGTTCAAAACACTTAGGACGTTTCAATCTACATGCGTAGACGTTCTGGGAGTGAACGATTAATTCATAAGAGGCTTCTAATTTATTTTGGGAGTTCCTTATGAG